GTCATCTATACCTGCCAGCGTTCCCATATTTTCAAAGCTTTACTGGGCTGCCATAGTAAGTCCGGGCAATTGTGGCCCTGTGGTGTGGAGCCAATTATCGACAAGTTCTCACTTAGGTTCTGTAACCAGTGGAGTTGCCTCCCTGCTAAGTCATGGGTGGAAGTCACTCCCATCTCCCCAGCTCAAGGCATGGCCACAGATATGTAACATATCCATGAAACCAGTTGAAAGTTACAGATATGATAAATGGCCATTCTACAGGGTATTTGCAAAATTGGCTCTATGCAAAACAACACTTAATGACTCTGCTTCATGTGTCACATCCCCCAGTTCAGACTTATGGGGGTGAGAGCATCATATATTTTTAATGTATCCTAGATACCCTGAGTTCTGGACCTCATTAAAATCTCTGTTTTGGGGCCCCGTGACTGCACCCTGTTATGAGGGCACATGCCGGGGTTGTGGGCCATGGCCCCAGCAGAAGGCATTTGAGAGGCAACCACACACTGATATGTCTTCCTCCTCTTTCTCCCTTCCTTTCTCTCTAAAAATAAATAAACAAGTAAACAAAAGTAAATAAAATATTTAATAAATAATTGATGTGAATGCAGATTGGTGCAACCACTATGAAAAACAGTATGACATTTCCTCAGAAAGTGTAACTGCCTTTTTACCTGGCAATTCCACTGCTAGGATTACGTCCTTAGAACGCTGAAACAACAATCCAAAAACACCTATGCACCCCAAAGTTCATAGCAGAACAATTTACAGTATCCAAGTGCTGGAAGCAGCCCAAGTGCTCATCAGTAAATGAATGGATCAAAAAACTATGGTATATTTACACAATGGAATTCTACACAGCAGAAAGAAAGAAGGAGTTTCTAGCTTTTGCAACAGCATGGATAAAACTGGAGAGCATTATGCTAAGTGAAATAAGCCAGGTTGTAAAAGACAAATACCATATGATCTCACCTTTCACAGGAAGCTAAACAACAAAACAAACAAGCAAGCAGAATAAAAAAAAAAGACACTGAAATAGAGAACAAGGGGACAGTGACCAGAGGGGAGAGGGAAGGAAATTTAAGGGGGAAAAAGGGGAGGGATTTGGAGGAACAAATAGGAAGGACACAAGGATGAGAGCTAAGGGGAGTGGAAATGGGAGGAAGGTGGGGAGCACGGGGCAGGGGGGCTGGGATGGGAGAAATAGACAAAAACTGTACTTCAAAAATAATTAAATAAAAACAATTTGTTACAAAAAACCCCACAGTAACCTAATCAATAAAATGAACAAGCAAGTAAAGTATAGCCAAACACACTGAAATACAGAACAGGCTGACTGTGACCCGAAAGGGGAGAGGAGAGGATAATGGGGGAAGAAGGTAAAGGGTTAACATAAACAATTATAAAGGACACATGGACAACAACAAGAGGGGTAGAAATAGAGGAGGGAGGTGGGGAGGGCTGGGGTGGTGGAGAGGGGTCAGGGGGAGGCAGAAAACTGTACTTGAACAATGATAAAAAAGAAATAACAGGCAAATAAAATTGTATTGATATGAAGAGCAGTATGTTTCTGTATTCATTACAGAATATATACAACATTCATATACCCTCCCATTACTTTAGATAATGGATGTAACTTTGTCTAAACTCTTAATCTTTGGCAGCTCAGCCTTATCCTCATTGTCATGATCTGTGTCCATGTGGACCTGTGATGCAGCTGTAGTCAGGAAGCAGGCACCGATTATATTGGTGCCCCCATGTTCATCAATAATAAATTTCAGAAGAATCATCTCTTCTGTCTCACAGCCACTATTTATGCCTCTATGTACCATTTTGGAGTGTGGTTACCATGTGCACACCCAATGGGCATCCACTGAACTTGAACATGATGCACTGGGTGTATCTACATGTGAATAGGAATAGGAAGCCCGTCCATGGGGGATACATTAACATGGATGGTGAATGAACCCCATCTGAGCTCACATAGATTCAGGAATATCATTTGTTATAGTGTGCTTTTCTATAGTGTTTATTCAATTCAATTTCTTTCCCTTTTTATGAAATAGCCTCACATAATGCCTGGACTCACTGAAATATTGAAGCACTTACTTGAAAATTTACCCATCTCCTAGGTTTTTGGTGACACTCAACAAACATCTGTGGTGAAGCTCAGACAGTCAAGTGCCATGACTACATTCCACAATGGAGCTCACAATTGTTTAGTCCCCACCAGGGGAATTTCAGTGCAAACCTTCAATTTACTGGAGACTCATGAGAAACTGAACTTGATATTATTTGTTGATAGATTACACATCAGTATTAAGCCTGGAAGTTGTTAATCAGAATGCAGTACAATAAAGAAACTTTCTGACTTGAATCCATTCTTCCATCTTATGTAAAATCAACCCGAATGTTGCAAGGTACAGTCATTCCTAGGGCTTGTCAGACAAGATGAGATGAGGGAAAAAATAGCAGTCTGGGGAGCAGTGCATCACAATGATGAGATTCTGTGCAAATAAAGTTGGTGCTCATATCTCCAGGAATCCTCATCCCATGAACAACTTGAAGAGGCCAGAGGCACTCATCCAACCCAGAGACTGAAATAACATGAGGGGAGAAGTCAACACAAAAACATATTGCGCAGAAGCTAAGCAAATACACTAAGAACTCATTATGCCAAACAAGCAGCTGTAACCTGGGTTACTATCCCATCTGAACCCACAAAGCATTAATCTACCAAGGAATCCAAAGCACTTGCTTTGGCATGTCTATGTTTAGCTTATGATTTTAAGTGAAAAAGAATGTAAAACTTTCTAGGTGCCCACTTCACTCAGATAAACCAGCTGCTTGTTGGAATCAGATAATTTCGAATGATTCTTGTTAAATTTTACTGTGGAACTGCACACATAGGATAGACACACTGGTATCATCTTCAATTAATGCTGCCTTGAAAACATTCAGACATATCAGAGTTTCTTTTCTTCTTCTGTTATAGAAACAGCAAATCCTGAGCCAGCAGTGAATGTGACACCTTGAGTCCTCAAGGGTCCTTTCAATGATTTGGAAGGTTTCATTCAGCTTCACCCACAATAGCTTGAGAACATGTATTTATTGTGTGTATGCTTCTGTGATGCCTGGAGGTAATTCTCTGCCAGGAACCTGTAGCCCATTCAGGTGACAGAAACTATTTGAATTTGCATTTTCTCCACTTACACATGCAGTGACAGAGGTGCTCACTGTATGCAATTGTCACAAACCAGAGCTGTGTTGTGTGGCCAGGACACCCACACCTCATGGTCACCACCACCCACAATCTCTGAAAAGATTGAAAAAGAGCATTTTACATAAAATTTATCTACATGCTAATTAACTTTAAACTGCTGGGTCCGAAGATTGTCCACTTGCACTGGTGGCCCATCATCTTCCACAAAAGACACATCAGTTGTCATATATGACATGTGAATAGAGACAGCCATGAATTCAGTGACTTTCACTCACAACTGGCCTCTGCTCCACTGCATTCAGACAGGAAAGAATAGTGAAAATGGCCCATAATGTGGAAGCCTTCCTGTGATTTACAGATTAATGGTGACATTCTAGTAGATCTTGCCAACAGGCTCTGTGGTTTTCAGTGAGTTCTGTATATTGCAGTGAACATGACAGGTATCTTGCTCTTGAACCTTATTAAAAGGTATTTTTCAAGTGTTTCAACAGCAAGTGCAGCAGAGAAACTCCATAAAATTCATCTTTGGTTTTTGTTTTACATTAAAAAATCACACACAATTCTACTCAATTGAATATTTAGTTTATTAGAGCCCCTTAAACTCACTCCTCATAGATTTGGGGGGAGCCTGTTATCTTTGGAAGCAGACATCTGAGGAAAGACCATCCAAGCTATGATGACCTTGGATGTGTAAGGATCCCAGTAAAGACGCTGCACCAGGAACCTCATCTATATCATCATCATCATCATCATCATCATCATCATCATCATTGTCATCAATCATCTTCATCTTCACTCGCTCACTTATTTAATTATTCTTTCATTTTCTATAGGCATGGTTGATGTCCACACAAAATGCCATTTTTATCATTTTTGCTCATTTTTATAGTTGATAAGTGAAAGGAGAAATTAGACTTGATTTTATTTTATCTTTGACTGCTGACAACTGATTGGTAATTTCTTCCCTTTCTTCGCGTGTCCACATAGGAAATCTGATAAGAAAATTGGGTCTCCCCTTTAGATGTCTCTGGGAGAAGCAAACCACACAATCCTTATAAGCAGAAATCCCCCTGTCCCACCTGCTCAACAAAATAAAATCTTGATCCAGTATCCTTTCCTGGTTTTATCAAAGCACATCCAATTTGCTGAAGGATTTTCCCAATCCTCTCAGAGAGTTCAAAAACGTGCATGATAAGCCCTCCATGTCCCTTTGGTGTGTGTGAGTTAGTCTCCAGCCTGGACACCTAAAGCAAGCTTTGTTGGTCTCTCTGTCCAATGTGGTATCACCTATGCTGGGTGCTGTGAGCATGATGCCAAAGCAGTGACCATCAACACGGGGTGTTTCAACTTCTGGCATTTTTTTCATTAGCTGGTGCCCACTGTACAGTATGGATGTACCCTGGTGATGGCCAGCTTGGAAACTGGGCAGGGTGGGGCTGGGCAACACTGTTATGTCCAACCGAGCCTCCCTGGTGAGAGTCGACTGACGGGTCAGAAGGTTTGATGATTCATTTATTGGAATTTGGCACAAGAGTGTCTAAAAGAGAACTGAATTTGGTCCATGGGAAAATATTGTTTTTATTTACTGAAGACTTCTCTGACCCAGAGACTGAGGTGAATGCAAAATCAGGAATCCAGAGAGATTTTTTTTGGGGGGTGATGTTACAGGAACAGGAAAATTCACAGGAAACCTGCAAAGAACTCCTAGTGAACATGCTCATGAGACAGTCCTTGTGTTCAGGGACCATGAACATCCACTGGTATTTACAGCCCCTACCACAGGGAGGTTTGTGTCTGGGCTCATTCTCTGTTCTTTTCACTGTGTCTCTGGAACAGTAATACACAGCTGTGTCCTCAGTTTTCAGGTTGTTCAGTTCCATGTAAGCTGTGCTCATGGACTTGTCTGCAGTCATGGTGACTCTGCCCTTAATATTCTGTGCATAGTTTGTATTACCATTGTTACAATTAATCTCTCCAATCCACTCAAGTCTATACCCTGGGGCCTGTCGCACCCACTGCATCCAGTAGCTCGTGAAGGTGTATCCAGAAGCCTTGCAGGAGATTTTCACTGAGGCCCCAGGCTTCCTCACCTCAGCCCCAGACTGAAATAGCTGCACTTCAGAGTGGACACCTGTGGAGAAGAGACAGGAGTAAATAGAATTCCCCCTTGACTCTTTCTGATCCCCTTCTCAACCCAAAAACTTGGAATACCCTTACCTGTAGTGACTGCCACCAGGAAGAGTACTCTCCAGCACCAGTCCATGGTGAGGGCCTGTGCTGTCAGGACTTCTGTAGGGGAGGGTGTGGCTGTGGGTGATATCTCAGGACCCAGACAGACTCACATTTAACCTAGTTTAACTCTTCTCATTTGCATAGTCATGAGGCAGAGAGTTTCATAGCTGAAGACTTGACCCTAATGATAGAAGGAAGAGGGTACAAGCACCATGACCAGTGGGAGTCTGAGGCTCCATGTCTAATCAGTGTTGTAGGATATGTATCCCCTGCCATGTGCCTAAGCTTCATGCTGAAATAGTTCCCCTCACAGAGGAAGAAGCCAACACAGGACATGCTCCTAATTGGGAGCCCACCTTTGAGTGACAAAGAGAACACCTGAATCAGTTCTGGGCTCACTACCTGAAAGTCTTATTTCTTAATCAGTGTGTCTCCAAATGCTGCACCTATTGAGGTAATACAACCACCCTTGTTTTCAGGTCCTCACAATTCAAACCAAAGAAGCCCTAGAAATAACCCTTTACTCTGGTTATCATGCATTATTGAGTTTGGTAAATTCTCTGATATAATAGGATATTTACAGTCAACTTGTGTCTAACTCTTCTTTTAGATAACATCATGAAAAGAGAAAGACCCAGGAACTCACAGTCAATCCCTCCTCAGCTTCTCTGCACTTCTTACTGGGCAGCATCCCTGAGCCTGTGGGCCCTGCACACCCTCTTCTGCCCACTCCACACCCCACAGTGGAGGGTCCTTTCTACATTCACAGTGCATGTACCTCTCAGAATCTCTTATCTAGAATTGAAGGCAGTTCCCTGACTTCAGGATGCTCTTCAGGAGCACCATGTGCGTTTACATTTCTAGGCACAGAGAACGGGCCTTATTAAACCCCAGTGATCCAGTGAGGAGCCATCAAACCAGGGCCCTATGAAGTCACCAGGAATCCCCTTCTCTGGGGCTGCCAGGTGCACTGACTCAGCCAATACCACTGAGCACAGAAGTTCTTGGGAAATTTGGGGGCCTCCACTGGCTCAGATTTCTGTGCTTGGAGGTTCCATCTAGGTATCCCTGTGTGAGCCCCTAAACCACTGCACATCTACTGCTCAATAAATCACACACACAGAGGTAATTCTCTCTTGGTGTTCACTGCCCTGCACACACCTGTCCTGGTGATGGCTTGGACACTTAGTTGTGTGTGGCTGGGCTGCACTATTAGCTCAAGGACAGACTCAGAATCTTGTCCACAGGAATATATTTTTCTCATGTACAAGTTACTTATCTAACTCAGAGCCTTCAAAGGTGAGCATAGAATCAGGAATCCAGAGAGGTTCTGAGGTAAAGTGTTACATGAACATGAAACCAGACAGGAAATTTACCCTAACCTCCAACTGCACCTGCTCCTGGTAGTATGCTTATGTTCCAGGTCCCTGAACATTTCATGAAGGTCACAGCCTCTCCTACAGGGAGGTCTGTTTCTGGACTCACACTTACTTCCCCCAATGTGTCTCTTGTTTACTAATACATGGCTGTGCTGTTGGTTCTTAAACCTTTGGCCTATCATCTTCCCCAAAAAACACATCAGTTGTCAGATGTGACATGTGAATGGGCTACAGGTTAGGCTGTTATGTGTTATAAACACCTGGCTCTTTTCTTAAAATATTCTATTTACTTACTTTTAGAGAGAAGGAAAGGGGGGTGAAAGAGAGGGACAAAAGCAACATTGCGTGGTTGCCTTTCACAGGCCCCCCACTGGGGACATTGCCTAGAGCTCAGGCATGTGCACTGACTGGGAATCAAACTGGTGATTTTTTGTTGTTGTTGTTTTGCAAGCCAGCACTAAATACACTGAGCCATACTAGCCAGGGATAAATATACTTGTCTCTTGGAGGTGTCCCTGGTGATGCTGAACTGGGATTGCAGCATTGGGTTAGAGTCTCTGCTTCTATCACTCCATATAACATTGACCCATTCCAGCCCTTTGACTGGGGCCTGGTGGGTGCAGTGGATGCCATAGCCTATTAAAGAGAATCCAGGGACAGTACAGGTGAGGGAAAGCATCTGTGAGTGCTTCACAAGTCCTGGGCCTGTCTCCTGCAGCTTCGCCTAGGACAGGACACCTGAAAACAAGGAGCATCAAGTCCTGTCAGTCACGTGCATTCATTACCACCCCATAAACCCTTGTGTGACATCTGGTACACTCAATCTGGGGGCTTTTCATCAGGCACAAAAGACTCAGCGGCCTCATCTTCTTGTAGAGCAGAACTCTGCCTACCCCAGAGACCTCAGACCCATGTGAGGAGGAGCCGTGAGATGCTACTTCCCAGGGTAGGATTTACTGTTGAGCTGGAAGTGGAATTTGCATGTGGGACAGCCTTTTCCCTCCAACACCCTGACATTCTGGGACCTCTGTGAGGATGCCTCTTCTCTTAAACTCACTCACCATACCTGTCAGAGAGATGGGATCATGTGGTTTGTGATCAACATTGGAATTAGATCATGATTGATATAATGTTTGATCAAATAGAATTAGATCAAATGATCGATCAGATGGGCTCAACTTTCTGATCATAAAAATTAAAGCTGGACTATGTGAGTATGTGACACTTTTGACTATTCATGCATCTTTTAAAAAGATTCAAAAGGGATTACTATTCGTTCAGATATTTTCTGAAACCCAACAATTATGAAATACTTATCAATGTAATTTTATATATAAATAATGTCTACCTTGGCATAAAAACTTTTAAAAATAGACAAAACCAGTTTGAATGTAATAATTTCTTTATTTCTGACATTTTTTATCTGACAAACTCAATCCCAAACAGACGTGAGAGAGTCATATGCTTTTGTTATTTTATTTTTGGAAGATTTTGATTGTGTCTACAACTCCCTGTGAAAATTCTATTTTTATGTATGCCCATAACATATTGAAGTGGCCCTAACTAATTGCATGAGAAATTATATTGTTATTACATGGAAAATTTAGAAATAATAATAGTAATTATACATATGTACTATGGAGTATTTTTGATATCATGGAATGATTTTAAAATATTTTTAAATATTTTATTTATTTTTTAGAGAGATGGGAAAGAGAAAGTCAGGGAAAGAAACATCAATGTGCAGTTGCCTCTCATGTACCCCCTAATGGGCACTTTGCCCACAACCCATACATGTGCCCTAACTGGGAATCCAACTGGTGACCCTTCACTTCGCAGTCCAGCTTTCAATCCATTTAGCCATGCAAGCCAGGGCTGATTACAAACATGTTTTAACTGACCTGTTTCATCAGTCTAGTTTTGTCAGTGATGTTGGGGTTCATAGGGAGATAATGAAGAGAATTACTAACACAAATTTTGTCACTGAAATGAGAACTTCTACCCTGACAGGAAACCTTACTCCCAGCCTCTGTTTTCCCTGCCTATGGAGATGGTCACAGAACTTCAATGGTGCTGGGCTCTACCACATGACACATAACATTCTTAATGCACAGTAAACACTTTCTTCCATCAAACATGTGGTTTAAAATATAATTTTTCTGTATATTTTAAAAAAGATATATATTTATTTTTAGAGAGAAGGGGAGGGAGAGAGAAAGAGAGGGAGAGAAACATCAATGTGTTATTGCCTGTCATGTGTTCCCTACTGGGAACTGGCCTGGCACGTGCCCCGAATGGGGATCAGATCTGCTACCCTTTGGTTTGCAGGCCCATGCTCAATCCACTGAGCCACACCAGCATGCTTCCTGTCTATTCTTGCCATTTAATTCTTTTAGTAGAATTTTTGGTGGGAGAAATTTTTTCCCTCTGTTAACAAATTTCTTTTTATTACATTTTTAAAAACTGGGTCTTGTTTTTGGTGTTTTATTTAAAATCCTTACAAAATTTGGTCTCCTCCACTGTCCATGAAATAAAAAAAAATCTTGATGTGGACAGAAAGGTCCTAAAACCTGATAAAGCAATGGTGGTTGGAATCCTTAATATGATTGAAAATTGGATTCCTGTGGCAGTGTGACCAGGAGAGCAATGTTTCAAGGCATGAAGCGGCGATTCATGTCAAAATTTGATCCAGTTGACAGAAATTTATATTGTGAATCTCCCTACAGTATTCAGCAGATAAATCTAGAATATTCCTTGAGAAAATATGTTATGTAACTTCCAGGCAGATGAGAGATGAACTACCAAGGATGAGATAGAGAGATGACAGAGACAGAGTCTGAGAGCTTTTTCATGAATATGAACATGGCCAAGCAAGGCCAAGGTTGCAGAAAGATTGAGATGTCTATAAAAAGTTAGACTTGGACTTATACTCAGGCATGTCAACAGCCCAGTGAGAGCTCCTTGTCGAGCTGTGTGTGCAGAACTAATGTTGGAAAGAGTGGCAGAGAAAGGATGTAGTGATTGTGAAGGCCTGGATTGGATGGTGCTCTCTGTGTGTCTAGGAGAAGGAATGGAAGGGTACCTCTGGATGGGCAGTGGAGTATTCAACCTTGTTCTTTTGTTCAGAAGGTCATACATCCAACTTCTCAGGAAATGTTTGGAAACAGGTTATGGAGGTTACACTGTTGCCCAGTAGTAACTCTGAACCAGTGAGGCAGCAAGACTCTTGCTCTTAAACAGCTTCCTTTCCATTCACCTGAGACTTGTGGCAGGAAGAGCTCAATGCAGAGGAAGGATTTTAATCTCTGAAGAAAAGAGGAACACAAGGACATGAACAATGAACTTATTTTTTCATCATTTCAGTGTCCTTATTAGTGACACACGTGAAAATATCTCTGGGTGATTTGTATTTGCAAATTCTGTGATTTGATTTTAAGTGTAAACACAAATTAAATAGCAGTTTACAGATTTTGAGTGACTGGAAGGAAATAAGACAAATTTAAAATGTGACCAGTTTGACACTAAGATTTTAAGATGAAAGTTGGTATCTGTGGGGCTCTGTTTACTGTTGAGTAGAAATGAGTTGACTCCCTGACACATCCTATTTTATTTCCTTACCATCACTCCTGTGATGTGGTTCTCATCATCCCCGAGCACTTGATACACTCTTACATTGTTTCATGACATGAGTTTGAGACAGCCTTGGGCACCATCCACTCTGT